ATAGTTTTGGATTATTGTCTTTACCGCTTTCATGGTTGTCAAGTCAAAATACAGCAGCCCAAACATACCAGGGCGGTTATCCTGCCTCTGTATTTGCTGAGCGAAGCCGTGAAGCTGCCGGATCAGAAAAAAGAAATAAGGAGCCGAAGACATGTTGTAGGGGCGGGTGGGAAATCCGCGGTGTGTAGTCTTCACTTACCTCCGTATCTGTTGTAGGGCACAATAATTGAGGGTTTGAGACAATGAAGCCCTGTATATCGCAAAAAATGCGATCGTGCTGGCAACAGAGAACGGTACAACGACTATGCCGTGGTGTCATCATGCTTGACAATGTTTCACAAAATAGTTACGCCTTACTATGTCGCTTAACAGATGGCCCAAGACGCACATCCCGGAAAACATCATGATCTCGAGGAAGCCCCACAGGAAAAAGTTGGGGTTCATGAGCAGCCGTGACTTGATCTCGACTTGGTGTATCCGCATTCGACAGTACTTAACGACAAGGTACATGCACACGACGCTCTCGACGAGTACGTGCACGAGGCCGCAGAGGAAGCACCATCCGAATGTCGAATTCTGCTGCAAGACCAAGTCGTGCAGGAAATGCTGTCGCACCCGCAGTTCCCGGAGCACCTCGACGTGTGACGTGGCCGGGGACCTCTCGGCTCCCAACGACTGCTCGGCCACCTTCGAGAGCCAGCCCCGGATGTGCCGGCTCTCGTCCAGGGCGGCGCCGACGCTAAAGGAGGTCATTGACAGCTGCATGATCCAGAACATGAGAACCGTCACCGACGGAGCCATCTCCCCCAGCCCCAGGGCGTAAAACAGATCGTTCTTCGTAAACGAGCTGGTCGTGGTCGCTAGCACGTGCATGGACACGCTCACCATCGCCAGCAGGCTGAATCCGTAGGCCGGGCCGACCAACTGCAGGGCCAGTGCACCCCAGCCGGTGGAGGGCGACCCGACCCGGCCGTAGAGCAGCATGCTCTCGGTAAGGCGGCACACGGCGTCGTGGCGCCCCAGCATCACCAGCTGCTCGCGTCCGGGACCATCGGCAGGAAAAATAAAAATTAGCCACATGGCTAAATTTGGAATAACTAATTATTTAGCTATGAGGCTAAAAAAGTTAGCGATGTCCAAAAACAAGCTATGGCAAAAAATAGCAATAATCTAGCTAAAAATCTAGGTGTGTAGCGATTTTTTTAGCTACGTAGCTAAATAATTAGTCAGTCCTCATTTAGCTATTTGTTTAGCTCGAGTTTCAGCTATAAGTACGACTGATCATTTTTTTCTGGCTAGGGGGCAATAACTCCCCCCTTTTGAGGTGTACACATGATTCCTGAAATACTTGATTCCCAGTGATTCCCGTCAGCTAATGTCCATTCCTTAGGTTTTCTAGTGGTAGAAAATGCTTATTTCGCTTAGTTTAAGCCATTTCTGTTGTTGCCCCCTTGTTTTTCCGTGAACTTACGACACGACTCTTCACCGTGGGGGAAACGACTATGAGATCTCGTGTACAACGGATTACCCCGTACTGCTCGGATTACCGCGCCGCGTTCCCCTGGCTCACACCGGACTACACCCGAATTGACACAGGATTGTCATGTAGCGGATTGCCCCCAGTCCTCTCCCCCTCGCTGTTCACAAACCTGCGTCACGACCGTTGCACCGCACTTGGTGATAATCTCGTAGATGCTCAGTAACAGGCCGTAACGGCTGATGCCGTCGCCACTTAACTTCATCATACTGACGACGACCACCGTGCTCTGGGAGGTTCGGAGCAGCAGAGTCAGAGCGCCGTAGCAACGGAGGCCCGTCGAGGGCCGCGGGGGCCACCCCCGGGTGCAGTTGAGCCCCGTCGCGGAGAGCAGCGCGAGCAGCGCGCGCCACTGCCTCGCCCAGTGGAGCACCCACCCCGAGGGGCGCGGGGGGGGCCCGAGGGCGTGCGCCGCGGCGGGCGCGGCCGGCATGACTAGGGGGAGGAGTCTCCGTTCGCACCTAGACGTGCGAGGTGAAGGTCGATAACATATCAGGGGAATGGGTTTGGACGGACGTCAAAAGCACCACGCACGGTGGACCTCCATGAGCACCACAGTGGACATTTCAACTGAGCTGGACGCCTGCCAACCAGAGGGTAGGCCACCGTCTCCGCTACGCTGCCCTGCCGAGCACGAATTGCCTAACCACCAGGCGCTATCGTTCTTTGAGAACGTCGTGGATTAACATCTCTCACGGGAATGAGAAATGTTACCACCCAATAATACCTTGAATACACTAACCTGTTTCCGATCCGATTCCCATTGTGTTGCCACTGCGACGTAGCTCGCTTGTTGGGTGTCCGTCCAGGGCCATCATTGGCATCTTGAGCCCTGGTTCGATCTCGACACAACGGATATTTCTGATAACGCCGAGCTGTCGGACAACTCAATCAATACCATCAATAGTCTGCCCGATCCGGGGAGGCCCGGCCCCGCCTTCGGCGCTCGGCGGCCGCCCCCGCTCCGCCGCAGCCGCAGTGCCCCACTTCATGGCCTCCAGCCTGCCGCTCCACCACACCCCGGCGCCGCCCCGCCGCCCGACGCGCGCAGTGGCTCCGCTTCAGAAACACGTCAGTGTCCACCTCTCTTCTACCTTTCCTGTCGCACCTCTCGTTGAGAAGGTCGGGGTGATACTGTGGGCTTGGTCCGTGCAGACGGTGCTCACCGTGCAGGCGGCCGACGCCAGGACCAGGACGCAGGCGCCGGGCGCCCCGAGTAAGCCGCGGCCCGAGCCGAGCCGCCCGCTCTTCGACGGGCTGCAGCTGATCGTGTACTCGGGTGCCGCGTTGGGAATCGTCCCGATCTCTTTCCGGCCTCGTGAGTGACGCCTTCGTGCGCGCTTGTTGAGTGTCGGTGCAGCTCCCCCCTGTCCAGATGTGCGTCTCTGTGCAGTGCGGGTGGGCTTCCACCCGGTCCGCTCCACGCTGCCGTACGCGCTGCTGGTGCAGGCGTACACATGGTGGGGCGCCTTCTTCGAGATGCCCTGGATCGGACGCTCTCTCGCTCCCCAAGTCCTGGAGGGCGCGGCGATCCGCTTCTGGAACATGCACTCCACGCTGCACCTCGCCGGCTGCCTGATCGTACTCGTGTTTTGGATGGAGGCCGGCAACATCCAGCAGCTCCGCGCCGTGTGCGACTCGCTGCTGGTGGGTCATGCCGGGCGGGCGGGGCCGGG